TTAATTAAAGAAAATACAAAATAAAATAAACTACAAATAAAATAAAATAAAAATTTGCCCTATTATTTAAATAATAATAATTATAATATATAATATAACAGCTATTTATATAATTATATAATAATAATAATAATAAAAATAATAATAATAGTAGGCACAGTGGCTAGCACAATCCCCTAAGAGCAGGAAGGGTGCTGGTTCGAGCCCCGGCTGGGTCAGTTGGCATTTCTGTGTTTGCATGTTCACCAAGTGTTTGTGTGGGTTTCCTCCGGGTCCTGCGATTTCCCCCACAAGCCCAAAGACATGTGGTATAGGTGAATTAGGTAAGCTAAATTGTCCGTGGTGTATGTGTGTGAATGAGTGAGTATTAATGTTTCCCAGTGATGGGTTGCAGCTGGAGGGGCATCTGTTGCGTGAAACATATGCTGGATAAGTTGGCGGTTCATTCCGCTGTGGCGGCCCCTGATTAATAAAGGTTTGAGACGAAAAAAATATGTAAAAATAAATGTAAATGAACGAATGAATCAATAAATGAATGAAAAAATAAATAAATAAATAAATAAAATAAATAAATAAATAAACAACTAAATAAATAAATAAATAAATAATAATAATAATAATAATAATAATAATAATAATAATAATAATAGTAATAATAATAATAATAATAAAAGAAGAAGATTATAAGTTGGTACCTGATCTGACGTACGCACACACGCATGCACACAAACGCACACTCAGACACTGTGTTACCCCAACAATACTTAACATAAACACGGGCACATCAAACCAAACTAAATTGTTGATAAAAGAAATGAGAAAGAATAAATCAAATCCAGGCCGCTGTCATTCAGTGCTCAGGGACTGCAGATCCTCAAAGGCGCGTGATGTTTTCCTGGAGTCTTGGTTCAGGTCATCCAGATCTGCCGTTGAGCTGCTGACATTTAAACAGACTTTCCTCCGAGTCTCTATATTATTCATGTAGACGCCGCCATCTTCATGTCCCGTCTGCCTCAAACTGCAGGTCCTGACAGCCAAGTGCTCCTTCCTCATTTTAAGGCTTCATAAAGTTTTAATGCATCAAAGACGACACAAAGACTAGCGTTGGTTCAATAGACAAAAACCTCACACAACCAAGCTTTTAGCTGGTCAAATATATACACACATACCTAAAAATATGGTTGCTGCTTGTTCAAACTACTTATTTGTGATGAGCTGAATCAACATAAATCTTAAGGTTTTTTTTTTTTTGAGATATTAATTATGTTCTTAATGTATGTTCAACCAACTTGAAGGATTGTGTGGAACCCTGCATTTTTTCAGTGCACTAATAGAAATAAAAGTACACTATATATAATAAAAGTACATATATTGCATGATCATAATCACAAAAAGATAAGTAAACAAAACAGAAAAATAAAATAAAAATTGAAGTGCAGAATGTTTAAGTTAAAAAAATAATGGTCAAAGACAACCACTAAGATAAAATAAAATAAAACAAAATACAGCGTAGCACAATCATAGCTTAAAAATAATATTTAATAATAAAATTAAATAAAATATTTTTATAAAATAAAAGGAGAAATTCATTGAAACAAATTTAAGCATTTTAAATGAAAATTAATATTAATAGATGAACATGGCTAAATAACAACCACTTAAATAAAATAAAATATAGTGTAGCGCATTATTGCATAATCATAACCCACCCCGAAATAAAAAAAGTATAAAATATTTCAATAAAAATATTAATAGGTTTTTAAAAATAAAATAAACCCTTTAAAATATATATTAATCGATGAATACGGCTCAAAAACAACCACTAAATTAAACAAATACAGTGTAGCATATTAATGCAAGATCATAGTCCAAAAACTATAAAATAAATATTTTGATAAAATAAAGTATTTTAATAAAATAAAATCAAGGAAGAAATACATTGGAATAGATTTAAGCATGTATTTATTATTATAATTTTTTTTTTACCCTATAACATATAAATTAATGAACATAGCTCACACCCCTCCCCCAAAAATAATTATACAATATTATAATTAAAATACATCTTAATACAAATATTTTAATAAAACAAAAAATAAATAAATTGAAATCAATTTAAGCATGTTTTTATTTTACTTAAAATATATATTAAGTAAACATGTATTAATGGATGTTTATTTATCTATTTATTTATTCATTCATTCATTCATTCATTCATTCATTCATTCATTCATTCATTCATTCATTCATTCATTCATTTATTTATTTATTTATTTATTTATTGTTTTTACCTTTAAAACATAATAATGGTCAAAAACAACCACTAAAATAAAATAAAATACAGAATAGCCTATAAATGCATGATCATAGCCCCCAAAAATAAAATCTAAAATGTAATCTGTTTTAATAAATAATATATTAGTAAAAATATATATATATATAAAAAAAGAAGAAATAAATTGAAATAAATTTAAGCTTGTTTTTGGGTTAAAAAAATATATTAATGCATGAATATTGCTCAAAAACAACCTATAAAATAAAATTAAACAATAAAATAAAATAAAAATTAAATTAAGTAAATTAAAATAAAATAAAATAAAACAAAACGAAGGACATATTTTGTGTTAAAAATTATAGGAGCGCATAAAAGCAACATGATGAAAATGTAGCAATTAATAAACTTTCAATAATAAAGAATGGTGAAATGATCTTGTCATTTTTTTGCATTCTGTATACAAATATAGAACACAGTGTTTAATGAGTTTGTGCACATTTGTGTTGGACAAACTCAATTTCTTCCCTGCAGCACATACTGAGAGATATTCTCTATGGAGCTTTCATTTATTTAAGTGCTTCTGTTTAATTCTTTTGTTGCTTTCCTCTTAAATGCCTTCATTTCATGTAGTCTCAATCAAGCATCATAAAAGAGCACCAAACTCGTTTAGTTTCTGTGGAGTGTTTTCTCTCTCAATCCTCATTTACTCTAATGTGCTTTCTATTGAGTTGCAGCCATATTGAGTGATGTTGCGTTACAGTGTGAACATTTAAAACATCACTCATATCTCAATTTGGTATCATGGGGCCATTTTCTATCAGCTTGGGTTGGTTAAGGTTGCTGTAATAAATACATATTAGAGCTTGAGTAAAGCACATCTGAGGAACTTCTTTTAAAAACACTTTAGGCAAAACAGTGCAGGTCAATAAAAATCCAAAACAAAGCTGAAAAAAAAAATACCTTAAACAAAATGAAACAATACTAAATGAGTCTAAATGAAACAAACAAAAAAAAAATACACAAACTGAAACAAAACAAAATGAAACAAAATGAATCTAAATGAAACTAAACAAAACAAACTGAAAAAAACAAAACAAACTGAAACAAAACAAAACAAAACAAAAAACAAAACCAAAATGAAACAAAACAAAGTTATTTCAATACTTACCCAGTTGAATGAATACATTAAGAAAAAACTTTTTTTCGGATTACATGAGTAAATAAATAAAAATTAATGGTATTTTTAATATTAATAATTACATTTTTACAGTAGTATTACTTATGCATAAAATACAATTGAATATAAAATCATGAATATATGGATGGATAGATAGATAAATGAATACCATATAATATTAAAAATATAATAATATGAACAGCAGCACTCTTGCACAATATGCAGCTAATTCAGTTCAGTTTTAGAAATCACTCCATAATTCTGTGAATACTGCAGAACAGGCAGAGAAAAAAAATCTACAAATAACAATAATACTAATAATACAAATAATTCTACTACTACTAAATGAATAAATACAAAAAAAAAAAAAAAAAAAAAAATATATATATATATATATATATATATATAGTATTTTAATATTATAGAGTTTTGGAAATAAAATAAAGAACTAATTAATAAATAAAGTAAATAAAATAAAATAAATAAAACATAAAAAATAAATTAAAATAAATTTAATAAATAGTGTTTTTAATAATATGGAATTAAAAAAAATATTCCATAATTCTGTGAATACTGCAGAACAGACAGAAAAAAAAATAAAAATAAATAAATAAATAAATAAATAAGTGAGTTAATAAAATAAACAAATAAGTAATACAAATTATAAATAAAAATAAATAAAAAACAATGAACTAATAAAATAAATGAGAAATATGTAAAAAAGAATAATTCAATAAATAAGTGAATAATAAGTTAATAAAATAAATAAATAATATTAAAATAAAAATAAATAATGAACTAATAAAATAAGTACTATAAAAATAAATAAATAATGAGTTAATAAAATAAATAAATAAGTCATAAAATATTAAATAAATAAATAACTATGAATAAAATAAATAAGTAAAATAAATAAATAAGTAAAAAATAATAATAATAAATAAATAAATAAATTGTATTTTTATTAATATGGAATTTTGGAAATCACTCCATAAACATGTAAATACTGTGGAACAGGCAGAAAAAAAAAAAAAGAAATAAATACATTAATTTAATAATTAATTAATAATGAACTAATAAAAAAATAAGTAATAATAAATAAATAAATAAATAAATAAATAAATAAATAAATAAATAAATAAATAAATAAATAAATAAATAAATAAATAAACAAATAAATAAATAATCACATTGTATTTTTACTAATATAAAACTTCCCAGTGTTGGGTTGCGACCCCTGATTAATAAAGGGACTAAGTCGAAAATAAAATGAATGAATGAATAAATATTATAGAACTTTGGAAATCACTCCAAAGTTTAGTGAATACTACAGAACAGGCAGAGAAAAAAAATCTACAAAAAAAAAAAAAAAAAAAAAAGATAAATAAATACAATTACATAAAAAGCCCAACAAAAAACTCAGTGCAGTAGACCTCAGAATGAAAAAGCATGTTCTACATGATCGGCCCCTGAGTGTGCTTTACAGATGGCTGAAACACTCACACATACACACACAAAAATACACTATATGGTAAAAGCATCACTCACGTTGATGTCCTCCAGCTCCATCATGTTGAGATCGTGGCCGTTGCGTCTCCAGATGATGGGAGGCCGCTGGTCCCCCATGATGGCACACGTGAGGACAGCGCTCTGACCCACTGTTACCGTGGTGACGCTCAGCTTCTGCTCTTCTGGAAGGCTGAGCTGGTACACCTCTGAGGACAACAAAACACACAAGGCTTGATGATTAGCTTTCTCTTGAGGAGCACTATGATGAAAAATATAGACTTCCAAACACTCATATCTCTACTGAACTTACAATACTATCACAATATATCAAGCCAGAATGATGCAGAAACATGACTAACAATAATTACCTCATTGCTAACATGTTTCTTCTATAAATTAACATGTCGCTTACATGTTCATAACAATAAATTAGCATGTTTCTAGTAAGAATTAGCATCTTGTTTAGAATTTATGATTTCTAGTGAATAAGAATGTTGCCATAAATTAACATTTCTAACATGAAGCATGCTTTCTAGCATGAATTAACATGTTTCTAGCATGAAATAGCATGATGCTAGCATGTTTATAGCATGAATTTCCAAGTTGCTGAGTGTTGCTAGCATGTTGTTTTAAACGCAAATGAAATACACTGAAAATGTTGAGCAAAACTGAATGGAGAGAAAGAAAGAGCTGAACTGAATTTAAAAGTTTTTTTTGTAAAGTGTACAGCAAAAATAAAGATGAAACATGATATTATGAATTAGCATGCAACACTTGTTGCTAACACGTTTCTAGCATGAATTAACATGCAACTAGCATGTTTCTAATGTATTAAATGTTGCTTGCATGAATCACTGTTTCTAACATGAATTAACATGTTTCTAACATTAACTTGTTTCTACCATGATTTAGCATGCTTTCTAGCATGAATTAGCATGTTTCTAGCATGACATACCATCCTATTAACATGTTTAGGTATAAATTATCATTTTGACAACATCAAATTAACGTTACTGGCAATGATGTGTGTAGAAAGTATTAACATTGTGCTATGTTGACATGTTTTTACATAAATAGGCATGTTATTACTATAAATTAGTATGTTTTCTACCATGAATTAGCATATTTCTAGCATAAAATACCATGCTGTTAACATGTTTTAGTATCAATTATCCTTTTGAAAACAAAGTTAACAGGTTACTGGCAATGACATATTTGTAGCAAGAATTAACATGGTGCTAGTATGTTGTTGACATGTTTCAAGCCTGAATTAGCATGTTATTATAATAAATTACTGGTTTCTAGCATGAATTAGCATATTTCTAGCATGAAATACCATGCTGTTAACATGTTTTAGTATCAATTATCCTTTTGAAAACATAAAATTAACATGTTACTGGCAACGACATGTTTGTAGCAAGATTTAACATGGTGCTAGTATGTTGTTGACATGTTTCAAGCCTGAATTAGCATATTACTATAATAAATTTGTGTTTTCTAACACGAATTAGCATATTTCTAGCATGAAATACCATGCTGTTAACATGTTTTAGTATCAATTATCCTTTTGAAAACATAAAATTAACGTTACTGGCAACGAAATGTTTGTAGCAAGAATTAACATGGTGCTAGTATGTTGTTGACATGTTTCAAGCCTGAATTAGCATGCTATTATAAGAAATTAGTGTTTTCTAGCACGAATTAGCATATTTCTAGCATGAAATACCATGCTGTTAACATGTTTTCGTATCATTTATGCTTTTGAAAACATAAAATTAACGTTACTGGCAACGACATGTTTGTAGCAAGAATTAACATGGTGCTAGTATGTTGTTGACATGTTTCAAGCCTGAATTAGCATGCTATTATAAGAAATTAGTGTTTTCTAGCACGAATTAGCATATTTCTAGCATGAAATACCATGCTGTTAACATGTTTTCGTATCATTTATCCTTTTGAAAACATAAAATTAACGTTACTGGCAACGACATGTTTGTAGCAAGAATTAACATGGTGCTTGTATGTTGTTGACATGTTTCAAGCCTGAATTAGCATGCTATTATAAGAAATTAGTGTTTTCTAGCACGAATAAGCATATTTCTAGCATGAAATTCCATGCTGTTAACATGTTTTAGTCTCAGTCTGGTTAAGTTGGCACCTCATTCCGCTGTGGCGACCCCAGATTAATAAAGGGATTAAGCCGAAAAGAAAATGAATAATTAAATGAATAATAAATCTTGGATGGCCTGAGAGTGAGCAAATCAACAGCAAATGTTCGTTTTTAAGTGAACTATCCCTTTAAACAAACAATAAAAGACACAAGAGTACAATTCATAAAGTGAAGCCTATGATGTATTTCTTTTCAATTACTTTACTCAGACTATTCTATCCCGAACACTTCTTTTAGATAGACTTACTTAACCGTAAAACACAATTAAAATCTTTGTTCTGTTATATTTATTTGTCCTACCGCTTACAATCGTTTCTCTGTTCCGACTGTTTATCTACAAGCTTAATTATATTAGCCGAGCTAGTAATGGTTTCTACTGCTCAGTGACTCACAAAATAGTCTAACAAACCAAGATGAAAAAGAGTTGTGATAAGATCATACATCATTATTCTGCCTGAAAAAAAACTGTGATATAATATTTTTGCCACTTTGCTTCAATGATAATTATTTGATATTTCAACAGCATACAGCTACACTGAATACCTGTGATTTCAAGTGAGAACAAGCTGTTTTTTGCAGATGCCACATTACCGGTGTGAATGTCACTTCCTATGATTCCTGGCACTTCATTAAAACAATAAACTTTACTGCAGACACTTGTGAACAAGCGTAGCGTACACTGTGCTTTTAAAGGACGACTTCTGTATTGTGCTGCTCCACTGGTAACACAGAGGCTTCATTATTTACAGAGCAAAGGGAATACATACAGAATTATTTGCTGCAATGGCCTGACTGAGAACCAGTAGTATTCAGTTCAAATACAAGACGACACACGCACATCCACACACACACACATACACACGTCTTTTGAGGGCAATATGTCTGATCTCTTTATTTGTTTGTGAGTTCTTCGAATGAAAAAGATAGCACATCATATCAAAGGCCATGCTTTTTTTTCTCTCACATTTTTCAGCCACTCTGTCCAGATTTTCTTCAAAGCTCAAAATAAGGCACATGAAAATTTGTGTACCAAAATATTCTCAAAGGCCTTGCTTTGCTTAGATCTTGAGAAAAGGCTAATTGCATAAATAGACAAATGTGTAAATAGGTCATTTTAAAAATGAGGCTTTCCCATGTTTTGGTCGTCTTTAGTTTGGTGATCTGTGTATTACAGTTAAAAGAATAGTGTATGTATTTAAATATACTGTAAATACAGTATTAGAGCTCTTGATTTAAGTGCAACGATGGCTCAGTGGCCAGCACTTTTGCCTCACAGCAAGATACAGTAGGTGGCTGATTCAAGTCCTGGGTCATTTGGCAATTCTGTGTGGAGTTTGCATGTTCTCCTCATGTTGGTGTGGGTTTCCTCCAGGTGCCCTGCTTTCCCTCAGTCCAAAGACATGCGTTATAGGTGAACTGAACAACTAAATTAGCCGTTGTGTATGTGTGTTTGTGAATGAGTGTGTATGGTTGTTTTCCAGTACTGGATTGTGGCTGGAAAGGCATCTGCTGTGTAAAACATATGCTAGAATAGTAGGTGGTTCATTTCACTGCGGCCACCCTTGATTAATAAAGGGACTAAGCCGAGAAGAAAATGAATAAAATTGGCCGTAGTGTATGAGTATGTGAGTGTGTGAATGTGAGATTGTATGGTTATTTCCCAGTACTGGGTTGCAGCTGGAAGGGAATCTGCTGTGTAAAACATATGCTGGAATAGTTGATGGGTCATTCCACTGTGGTGACCCCTGATAATCAGGGACTAAGCCGAAGGAAAATGAATACATGAATGAGCTCTTGATTTATTTATTTTTTTATAAAAGATAAATGTGTTTTGCCACACTTTATACATAACCTTACATCAAGTATTTTTGATAATTTGGTGATTTTTCTTTTCAAATTTGTAAAAAGTCTTATAACAGTGCACTCAATTAATTTTAGTCAAACAAACAAACAAACAAACAAACAAACAAACAAACAAACAAACAAACAAACAAACAAAAAAGCTTTTATTATAAAACCATTTAATTATATAAAATATATATTTTTTATTTTTTTATAAAGACTGGATTAAAAAAATAAGTTTGAATACTAAACTTTAATACTAATACTAAAATAAAAAAATATAATGCTGAATTTAAATATTTGTAAAAATCTACTCATAAAAGCAATATATATTGCTTTTGGAACTAATTAAAATAAGTTGTAAGGTGACTACTATATACTGATCTAATATGGAAATATTAAGAGAACAAAATCAACTGATTAATAAAAAGCAAACAAATAATAAAGTCACATAATAAATTCACAAAACTACTTTTGAGTAATTACTACTATTGAAGTGTAATTACTACTCTTCAAAAGGAGAAAACTTCACTATAATAGTACATAAACTATACTATAACAGTTCATACGCTGGTTCATATGCTGGGTTTTACACAATTTATTCATGTCGTCCCAACACAATTCGATTAAGTTAACTATTAACAATTAAGTTGATTGAAGATAAAACAATTAAGTTGTCCCCCCAAAAATTCAAGAATTGTGTTGTTTCAGCTTACTTTACACTAGCCTTGATGAACATTAGCCAGTGGGGGAGTGTCTTTTGTCTCTCCAGGTGTGAATTATTCATGACCATTTTCACTGCCATGCATGCAGCTAAGCTGACCCAAAACAGATTTTACAAAATGTAAATAATTGTAATGTTTTCTTTGAAGGACAGAACAGAATAATTTCCACATAATTCTGTAGTAAATATTCTAGCCTACAAGACAGTTCATTCAGTGAAGGTTTACCTTATTTTAGTATTTTAAATAAATAGTAAATTTATTTACTAGGTAAACCTTATTTCAGCTACGTTTATTCTTCTCATTCAGGCCAATACAGTGTGGTTTTTTGGACCTTTTTCTATAAAACTTACTAACCACGCATGATATAAAAAATAAATAAATAAATAAATAAATAAAAACGTAAGCATGAACATCCATCTCTCACATATTATTATAGCAAAGTTTTTGAATAGAAAAAAAAAAAACATGT